TGATGCTAAATTTTATAGTTTTTCTGTCTGCTTTGCTTAAATAATTGTAAACGTAACAATATATGTACAGGGTGTTCGCGGAAATATTTTAACCAGTCAAAAAATTCGTTAAGAAAAGTCAATATGAAGACCAAACAAATTTCGTATCCAAATATTTTTTTCTGCATTTTCTCCTCCATAATTTTCACCCTCCAATCAGTGTGTCTGTTCTTGTTAGTTGGAAGTAAAAATATTAATGAAAATAAATTGCATTGAATGTTGACCGTGAAAGTTTTTATACAGAAAAAAGGAAACTTTTTGTCCAAAAAAAAACACTTGTTTACACATGTCAGTTTAGTTAGTCGTTAATGCGCTTTGTCAATCAAGTCATTACAGTCAACAGGCCGAATTGCATCATGTACAGACCGATTTTCAGTAAATGTTTGAGCAGGGATAATTAAAGATCAGTTAGTTGGACCTCACATTTTACCTCATCGTTTAAATGATGCCGCTTATCTGGATTTTTTGGAAAATGTGTTGGCCGGAGGAACAAGTGATATTTACAAAATGGAGCTTCCCCACATTATGCCAGAGTTGTCATGAATTAGTTGAACAATCATTTTCCCGAAAGATGGATTAGTTGCCAGGGTTCAACTGCATGGCCACCGCAGTCACCAGATTTAACTCCATGTGATTTTTTTGTGGGGTTACATGAAACAATTTGTGTACGCAGCTCAAATTAATACTCTCGAAGAGCTGTTGTGTGTGAGAACGCAAGCTTCTCTAGCCCGAAGAGTACAAGAAGTATGTATTGCCAACGAAAGGCCACATTTTAAGCAAATTTTTATAACAGTAAGTATTGACCCACTAACACTGACTCTGATCTACAGTGCGATCAAAAAGTTTATGTATTAAGCAAGCTTAGAAATTTAAAACGTGTGTCTGCGGAAGATAAAATGTCACAATGGTAAATAAGAACTGTCAAAATATTTTTTTGTAAACTGCAGCAACAAATCGTGGTGAACGATTTATGTAGCGATATTTTTTTTTGTCTTTGTGCTGTTGCATGGTGGAAACACAGCCGTTGCCATTGTTATAGCTTTTCCAGCAATAGATTGGACATTTTTAAATATGGGTTGTTTCGTACTGTTAGGTTGGAAAACATCTGCTCACTTGTATTCCTCCACCGATTTTGCACCTCATGTTTTGTTGTTTCGTCATTCCTATCAAATTTAAATTCAAAACGTGTTGTGCGAAATAGTTTTTATTATTTTGGTTTAACACCGTTTAACTGATTTCGTAAGCGTTAAAAATCATTTTTAGTGTGTGTTTTGTTAAATATTTATTGTATTAGTGTGATAATATTATCCTCAGGCAAATGTAGAAATTCTTACTTGATTATTAATGTCAATTATCGATGATATTACTTAGAAAAGTGCTTCCACAAAAACAAGCTATATTACCGTCGCGGATAATTTTGAGGCCTAAAAACTGGTTGCTAATGCCTCTTATCTCTTTAAAGATAAAAATCTGTGTTTAGGCTTTCTTATACAGGGTTCTTCATGTCATCCCCGGTCTTCTGTAGGTCAGTTATTATTTAAGTGGGAATTTTGATATTTTGTAGACTTTATTTATATTCTAGAGCGCATTTCAGGAAAATATTTTTGATTATACATGATGGTCTAAAAATAAATTACAATAAAAACTTAAGTTTTTTTTAATGAAACACCATAAATGTTTCTTGGTATTTTTGAATGTAGCTTTTAATTTCAACGTGTTTAAGCTAAACTTCTATTAGTCGATTTTGCTTTTTTGAATTAAGTTGTTTTTTTTTGACGAAAACATCCTCTTTTGAAAAATTTATTACACAAAAAGTTAAGACAGCTGGAAAAAACTTTTTTTACCACTGTAAAGAGGAAAGTACGAGCTTTAAGACTATAACATGTTTTAATGTATTGCAGTCGAAAAGTGAAAAAAAAGTCGAAGTTTCTTAAAAGTTAAATAACTTTAAAAATATAAATGCATCTCGTAGACTAATAAATTGTCTATCTAAAAAAATAAACTTTTGATGTTTAAAATTGATAAATTAAAAGATATATACCTACAATACCTAAATACCTAAAATTAAAATGAGCATTGTTGATACCAAGGCAACGATAGTAATTCCACCACTGACCACTTATTTGGGATTCGTCCAGAAATTGTAAAATCCGACGTAAATATTGAAATTCAAATTGTTTTATTGTAAAAATTAAGAATAATGGTTTCAGCATGTAATCTAACTTAAATTGCTATTTGCCTTGCATCCTAGCCTTGCATTACCAAAATATCATGGTTATTGCGACATTAAAAATCTATTTTTTGTAAATCTGCCAAAATGTGTAATAAAACATTTTAAAGTAAAATTCACATTTGGTAAGGTAGGTACCACTTTTAGCGCGGAGTGTTCGTAACTTGTGTGTATATAACTTGTGTGTGTATACAGGCTGGATTATAAGAAACGTCTCGAGCTATAATTTCATTACTTTTAAAGACGTTACAGTACTTCTTTGATCAAAATTGTACAGTTTTTTGGTATCAGTCGTTTATTTGTCTTAGATAAAATGAATAAAAATGTTCTATTCTTTCTTCAGCCTACTTTATTTAACTTAATTTTTAAAGTGCCTAAAAATAAAAGTTAGTAATAAATAATAAATAGTGGGTTTATTGAATAATAAATGAGCATTTATCTCAAACAATAGATAGCAATAAACTGTGCAACTTGATTCTAAGGAGTATTGTGATATCTTTAAAAATAATAGAGTTATTCAGCATGTATTTAGATTCTATTTGGCAGAACAAAAAATGGTTATGGATGCACATGAGAAACAAAATTATTGTCTTTTCATAGGACGAAAAATGTCAACAAGACTCGCAGGATTTGTGCATCTCTCTAATTAGAGAAGACATAGGTGTAGGGCATAGAACCTTCAGATGGCGAAGTAAAATACGTTTGGACGCAGAAAGTTGTTTCAGCTGAATTTCAAAATTTTTTTTCAAAAAAAAAGACTTGAGCGTGAATTCGTACTTTGCTTTTGATATTTTCGGTATAAAACTCTGAGAAGCATTGTTAACAGCTTTATTAATATTTATTTTTGGATTTGTAGTGACACATTTGACTTTTTGATAATTTTATTTTTGGTAATCTAGTTACATGCATGAAAACATTGAACTGAAAATTAATTATTTGTTATTTAATTAAGAAACAAAAAAATAAAAGAAATAAAGTTTAAAAAGAAAAAAAAATCATGTTAGTGTTTTAATAATTATCCTGTTGCTCATAGATAAATCAAATTGAAATTATTTTTATAAATACATAACAATCTAAAATCTACTATTTCTCACAATTCAAACGTACCGTAGGATATTAGAAGAGGAAACAAAAAAGCTGTAGGTATCTTGAATTGTAACTATGTTTAACGTTACTTGTGGCTTTTATTGGTGAAGTTTTTGCACTTTTAGGTACTGAATAATTAAGAGAAAACATATAGTATTATTCAAGAGAGGAGTATTTCTGAAATTTTTTGTCGCAACTAACAATACCGATCTCACTAACTGCTATATAATTAAATATAATATTTCTTTTAAATTAGTAATCTAAGTAAGTTGCGCCTACTCGGTTGGTGAATAATAACAAAACATGTCGTATTGTTTGGACAGTGAATTTCGTCCACCCAATTTTCCTGACAAATTAAAAGTGTAAATTAGTCTTTAGGTTTTCCTAACTTTGTTTCAGAATTTTGATTAACGTTTGTCATGTTGACAGAATGCTCGATGCTTCTTGCTACTTTTTCCTTGTCCTTTGAAGTGGTATAGTGGTAGTCCTTGGTATGCCCAAAAGTAGTGAGACACGTCTTAGAGACATACTTTCTTGTACCAGAATTTTTATTTTATTATGTTCGAATTTGATTAAATTTGTCAATACGTATTTGAATGTCAGTTATCATGATAATAAAGCACAGACTACAGTGAATTTTTGTGAATTCACAGAAATTGGGTGGACGAAATTCACTGTCCATCACTCTACTTTAATACCAAATTCATTACTGTTTATTTTATACCTTATTTATTATTTTAAAATTAACCCTAAAACCACCCTCTAGATCAAAAATGTCTAATCGGGATGAAATTAACAATAAACAATTATATTTATTCTAAAAACCTTCTGGTTTAAAAATGTTTTTGTTGGGGATGAAATTAACAATAGACAATCTCATTAATTTTGAAATTTAAAAAAAATTCCGTTCAGGTACTATTATTTTAAAATTAACCCTAAAACCACCCTCTAGATCTCAAATCTCTTTGATGGGAATGAAATCAACAATATACTATTACATTAATTCTAAAACTGTTAAAAAATTCCGTTCAGGTACGATTATTTTAAAATTAACACCAAAACCACGCTCTAGATCAAAAATCTTTTTGATGGGGATGAAATTAACAATATACAATTACATTAATTCTAAAACTGTTAAAAAAAACAGTTCAGGTACGATTATTTTAAAATTAACCCCAAAACCACCCTCTAGATCAAAAATCTCTTTGATGGAGATGAAATTAACAATATACAATTACACTAATTCTAAAATTGTTAAAAAACTTCGTTCAGCTACAATTATTTTGAAATCAACCCCAAAACCACCCTCTACATCAAAAATCTTTTTTAATGGGGATGAAATAAACAATAAATAGTCACATTAATTCTAGAATTTTGAAAAAATTCCGTTCAGATACAATTATTTTAAAATTAACCCTAAAACCACCCTCTAGGTCAAAAATCTTTTTGATGGGGATGAAATTATCAATTTCCAACCAATAAATCATTGTTAACCCCCCTGAATAAAATTACCCTCGTCTTAAAGTCAAGACAATACCACGCCACGGTACTGAACTAAGTGAAATCAGATGAAATTGCAAATCGTTCTAACGAATGAGTGAAGTGGAAGGAGAAGTCTTTACTGCGCATTTGCCAAACACGGCTTTTCGTGACATGTCGAATTTATTTCCGCCGGATCACATGCCACTTGTGAGATAAATGATAGATTTATCATTTCTTATCATTTTATTTTGTTTTTTTTTTATAGTTGTTGCAGGTAGAAATTTTACATATTAACAAAATGTGGGGGCAACCTGAGGTAAGTTCTTATTCTTGTTCTTAACTATAAATTACTAACTCTATTTGTATGATACAGTTGGAGCATGTAACTATAACTAGGGCCGCGATTGCTTTTTATCTGCCCTACCCAATCGGTTTTCTTAGCAACCAATGAAATATGTCTCCAAATCTTTGATTTTTACATTCTGACAGTTGTAAAGATGGACTTATGTAGAATGTTTTGGAAAATTTAACTCTAAATTCGAGGGAAAGTAATGGTGACACGGATTTTGGTATTAATTCTGAAATATCCGATTAATTTTTAGTTTCGTTTTGTTTTTAATTTTGTTTGTTATACATAACTATTAAATCAGACTTTAACTATGATTGCTGATTTTATGTTGGTGGGGTAGATCAAACGTTATAACAAGACTACTACAGTTATTATTTCTTGAAATTCCGATCTAAGATAGGTAATTAAACTATAGAATAATCATATCATTTATACTTCAATACCAAATTCATTACTGTCAAAATGTTTATTTTATACCTTATTTTGTGCAGCCAAGTTATTTTATGGAATAACTTCTTAAAGCATGGAATATGATGGATGTACAGTTGCAGAATTAAAATTTTGGGCAGTATTTTTCTGTCACTTTAAAAAGTTCACTGTAAAGTACTATTTACTGTTATCATGAGTCATGACTGACATTTGACAATTAAACTTTTTTCCTTGTTAAAATTGTTAATTAAACTATTTGTCTGTATGAGGAAATTTATTAATTGAAGTAAGTGTAATTAAATCATTGCTTGGATCTGCTGCCTACCCGTTATTATGTCACAAATCACTATTTTTGAAAGTAAATAAGTCAAAATGACATGAGTAAAAAATGAGTTTTTTTAATGAAAATGACAATACTGCACAAAATTCCGCACTGTACCTATTTTCTGAGGTGAAATAAATCAAAAATATTTTATTTGTGTGTAAAAGAAAAATCTGTGTAACAAGTGGAACCCATGCCCTGAGGAACTTAGAGTCAAAATAATCCACTATATCATACAGAAAAAACATTATGAAAAGGGACAGAATGGGCGATTGAAATGGTAAACTGACAGATCTAACATTAGTGGTTTTCATCACGCAAAATGAGATTATTTATATTATAGACATATTGATAAAAATTGTCATTAGTATAACAAAATTTAAAGTTGTGATTCTTATTGTTATTGGTTTTTATTTATTTTTTTAATAAATACATGCTGATTCACGAGGAATAATGAGCCTGACCAAATTCTCGATGCACCCAACATTACATTTTTATAGGTCAGGTAGATTTCAAAGATTATTTCTGATAAATATGAAATTATAGCGAGCAAACTTACAATTTGTCAGTTTGGCATTAAAATGGCAACAAAATAATGAAAAACAAAAGTAATTGAAATACCAACACAATAATGTATTTTTAAATAAGATTAACGGGAGGCATCTATTTAAGCTTTATCAAATGGTACCCTTCGCTTTGATAACTTAACAGGAACCCAATTGGCTCAAAAACTCACCTGGTCGTGTCAGAAGGTGCTTTTTCTTTCGGGGTATCATGGGGCATCACATAAGCAGCAAGAAATGCATTCTTCAAACATTCTCCTTAAGCTAAAAACATGTCAGTCTTTGGAATAAGTCATCATTGGAATAAGTTCATATTTTGCTCAGTTTGTAATAAATTTGTAGCGTTTGTCAAAAATGACAATGATGATGATTGATGATAATAATAGGCGTCGTGGACTCAAATTATAATTTTTTTAAGTGTCGCAAAGCAACTTGCGAAAAACTTGCATCGCGAATTTGGTCAAGCTCAATATTCCTCGTAAATCACCTTGTTATTATATTACAGGATTTACGTTACGCAATAGCGCAGAATAATGTGAACAGAATCAGAACCATCAACGTGAATGGATATAATGTGAATTCTGTATACCAATATGACACTCCACTTTTGTATGCACTTCGATATAATAAAAATTTGGAAGTTATTGAATTGATATTAAATAGCGGTGCCAATGTGAATTTAAGCAGCAGCAGTGGTGTTCGACCACTAGTCGCAGCCATCGACTCTAACTGTTCATTGGAAATTATCAAACTTTTGATAAATCGAGGAGCAGATGTAAATCAACTTGGAAGGAGTAATTCTAATTTACGTAAAAATTATACCCCACTTTTAACGGCAATAGAGAAAAATAATTTTCAAGTCGTTCAATTATTGTTAGAACATGGAGCAGATGTCAATAAATCAAATCAAGATGGAACAACAGCTCTGACACTTGCGCGTAAATTGAACCGTTTAGAATTTTTAGAAAAAAGTTTACGTAAAGAAAAGAATGAAAATCTAGAAGGTTGTACACCTTTAACTGCTGCTATCTTGTCTGGAAAGCTAGACGACGCAAAAGTGCTTTTAGAAGAACGAGTAGATTCTTGCAAAGCAGACTCCAATAAACAAACTCCTCTTCTTGCAGCAGTGCGATCTAAAAATCTAGAAGCTGTGAAACTTTTGTTAAATTACAAAGCAAATTTAACAATTCCTACTGCTTTCCTAGAAGCAATTAACTTGAAGTGTTCGGAGATTGTTAAATATTTAATAGAAGAAGGAGCAAATGTTAATAAAAAATATCGCGATGGTTACACACCCTTAATCAAAGCTATAGAAACTGAAAATTTAACAATTATTGAAGAGCTTTTGAATAGTGGTGCCAAAGTAGACTTGGCTGACAGTGAAGGGAAGACTCCTTTGGCGTTGGCAGCAAATAAAAGAAGTATTCTTATTGTGAATCATTTGGTCGAAGCAGGAGCTAATATCAATTTGGCACAACGTGAACTTGAAGAATTTGCAAATGAAGATGAAGATTTTGACACTTATTACCAAAATTTAAAAGAGGAAAAGGACCAAAAATTAGCTTCAATGTCTAATAGAGGTGAGTTATAAAATATTAAGTTTTTACAAAGTGAATAATTTTCAATTTTGAACAGATTTTTATCATGGAGTTCACGAAGCTGCAGATTAGAGACGATGGGTTTTGTATCTGGTATATTATCATGTAATTGTATTATTTTACTTTCTAGATTTGAATTAAACAATTGTTTTATATTGTATTTATCCCACGTGTTATAATGAGAGTGAACATTTTTTGAAGCAACCAACATTACTTTTCAAAGATAAAGATTAAAATATTTGGTTTTAATAATTTAAACACACAGTACTTTAACTTTAATTTATAGAAAATCAAGTCTTGTTAGTTTTTTTCTTACTCGATGTAATAATGGTCAGTTTGGGAGTTTTTATCTTATTGGTGAAAAAAATTAATGTACCACAAAATTTACGTTAACAGTATCATATTTTATTGTACAAAAATAAGTAACATATTTTTACTAGAAATTATTAATTAATACAGACATTCAGTTTTGTGTTTCTTTGGATTGTTATCTGTTGATAAGATTTCAAATTTTTTATTTAAAAACATGTACGAATTGATCCATAAGAGAAAACGTTGTATTATACACGTAAAGCAAAGTCAGCATTTTACGCTTGTGATTCCGTTCTCAAACTTTGGTTTTAATAATTTAAACACACAGTACTTTAATTTTAATTTATAGAAAATCAAGCCTTGGTAAATTTGGAGAAATTTACAAAAATGTTTAGTAATAACAAAAGTCTGAAATGATTCTCATTTATGGTAAAAGTTTACAAAACGTATTGGAGGCTGTAGCACGATATCCAAATAGACGGGCTGTGAGTATAAATTTTGTCAAAAATGAAAATACAACCACTTTATTAAATTAATTAAAACTAAATATTTTAATAATCTTGGAAATGTAATATTGGTTACTTTAAAAAATTGTTCAGGCTCATTATTACTTGTGGGACAGCCTGTATAGGTAGGTGTATACGTTTAAATTTAAAATGAAACACCAATTCTTGTCTTTTTCAATTAACAAATTGTTTTTATACAAACATAAACATTCCTGTGTCTTGTACTGATTACAAAAAAAAACATTAATAGTTACTTTTGTTACAAGTAAGTAAAATACAGTTTTTGCGAACGAATCGTTGCTGTTTTCGCATTATAAGCATAATGTTTTTTTAAGTTTATATTGAGTCATTCTGTATTCATTTGTAAAATAAATATTTGTCAACATTGAATTGGTCTTTATTATTGTCAAGTTGGCATTTCCTAATTTTAGCAATATAGAAATTACCAACGTTATCTGACATTTGGTGAAAAGCGAAATGTTAATTAAAAAATAATAAAACAATTTTTCTCTTATACAGTGTCGGAACTCGAGGCCCAGAGAAAAATTTCAAGTAAAATAAGATATCAGGAACATGGAAAAAATGTTTATAAAATCCTATATGTAAAAAAAATTACATTTATTTTTTGGCATTTGACATTTTTTATGTCTATTTAATGATACCGATGATCTTGTATTTATTTTTTATAATTCTTTAGTAAAGGTAGAAAATAAAAGCCACAAATAACATTAAACAGAGTTACAATTTAGGATAGAGCTTCCTTGATGATGTTAATTTAAATAATAACTCGTGTCCTATCTCTCCTGATAAGAATTTTACAGCACTCAGAATGTGGATATGGAAATTTGATTTTTTTGTAATAACTTTGGATCCATTTGTCCAAATATTATAAAATTTGGAACATTTCCTTGTGACAACATAGCTTTTGAACTGGTAATCACGAAAACCGGATACATCCATTCAATTTCCGGTTCCAGCAGTTGCAGGTCACATTTTCTGTATTTTTCCATTTGTTTGCTCTCTAACACCAATTTTTTATTGCCAAGATAGATAGAGTAATCAATTTCGAATAAAAAACGCATAACCTTTAATACCCCTAAAATGGACCGTTTCAAAGATATTTTAATTTAAACTAAGGACTGCACAACGCTGAAATAAAAAATAGGGATTTTGAATAAGTGGTATTCTCGGCAACCAGTGACCATGGTCACATGGTCTGGGCAATAAAAAATTGGTGTTAAGAGACCAAAAAAAATGGAAAAACACAGAAAATGTGACCTGCAACTGCTGGAAKCGGAAATTGAGTGGATGTATCCGGTTTKCGTGATTACCAGTTCAAAGGGTATGTTGTCACAGGAAATGTTCCAAATTTTATAATATTTGTTCAAATAGTTTCAAAGTTACTACAAAAAAATCAAATTTCCATACCTACATTCCGAGAGCTGTAAAATTCTTATCAGTAGAGATAGGACACGAGTTATTATTTAAATTAACATCATTTTATGGGTCATTTTTGAGGTTCAAATATTGCTTCATATTTATGAATAACCCTGTATATATAAGTATTTACAAGAAAAATAAATAGAGTTAAAATGCAAAATTTAAACTCTCTTGACTTCGAAATATTTATACAGGGTGTTTGCGGTCTTAACAAAAATGCATAAATGGTGAACTTGAAAACAACTTTACTCAGTCATTCTTTAAGTAATCAATTTTGGTTTTTGTAAGATAATTTAAAAGAATATTCTATGGGCCGATACGTTGGCTTTTTTTTAAAAAAGTGTTTAGTTTTTGAGATATTGTGATTGATGTAAAAGTCACGATATTTAACGGTAGACCTAAAGATTCGTTTTAGGGTTTTGGTATTTATTACAAAATATTAATTCTTAACAAATTCAACAAACACCATGTAATAAAACACTGTTGTTTTTAAATTATTGATAAATATATTTTGTCCAAGAATGCTTCCTAGTTCATTGCTTTTACCACTAGAGGCGTTGCCAGCGCCGCTTCTGTGGAGGATCGAGGGTCTCTACCTGCCCTTGTACCAACCCAAGCAAATGAGGGATTAGGGTCATCTTTATCATGTAATTAGAATAATAATGTTCAGTTATTATTATTAGAAAACTAGAAGCAGAAACATTTGACGTGAAATGAGAAAACAAGCTAATTTTGTTTGAATTGTACTTCTATCGAATCTCCCGTGATTAGTACACCTGACCATTTTTTTTTCGAAAAAATATGTGCCTTGTGGGGATCTAAGATTATTTATTATCTATGAGAGTTTTAATAAACAGCCACAATAATCAGACGAAATAATTTATTATACAACAAATTTACACCTATTATTAATTAAACAAATTTCGCCACTATAGTAACTAAATTGTCTTATCCGTTCTGAAAAACTGTATTTTGGGTATTGAGTATATAACCATTTTTCATACTATTTTATTGGGTCCACAAAGACTCAGCTTGTTTCGAGAGCGTATACAAAAAAATTATTACTTTTAAACAAATGCTCGCCAGAAGTCTAAAACAAATAGTTTTTTAGCGGGGCAACTATAAAAAAAATCGTTAAAGAGATCGTTTTTTTTTTAATTTATCGTTGTTCTTCATAAAAAATGATTCAGCCTATCACAATCTTTTTTTTTATATAACTATAAATGAAAATTTCGCATTTTTCTACGGTTAGTGGTACTCATAAATGTGGTCAATGGCAAAAAATTGTAATGGAAAACAAGGACACGTTTAAACTAAAAAAACCTAGCTAAAAAAAATCATAAATACCCCTCCAAAGAATATGAATTTTATAGTGCGCATTATAAATTTGATATTTACATGTACAGTTGCGGCCTTTGAAAACTAAGACATTAACTTTTGGCATACTATTTGCTATTTTACAAATTTGTATACTGTAAATAAGGTTTTCAACAAGGATGACAATGTTAGTTTTAATTTTTCAAATTCGAATGGTGTTGCAATAAAATAGTGAAGTTATTTCTGTCTACAAAACTAAAATTCATTGTTTTGAATTAAAGTTTTTTGTTCTATGACACTGATTCGTATTATTTTAATTACATTTTAGAAACTTCAGTTTCAATGCATTTTACAACAACAAAATTTTGGATTTGTCAAAGTGTCTTAGTTTTCAACGGCCGCAACTGTACATACGTACACGGAATTTTGGACGATTTGTCATTCGGTTGACATAAAATGTAAAACTTTTTTTGATTGTAGTTTTTATGCTGACAGCTAAATAAAAATGACAATAATTCAAAATAATAATAAACAAATTATAACTATGTAAAAAACGTACTGCAACTGCTGGCATTATTGTATGTATTAGGAAATCGACGCCAAAAATTAATTTCAACTAAAACTTTCAAGTTTTAGATCCAAACGTCAGTCATAATGACACTAAAGYGTTGGTTACGTTGATATTTTTTGAACTGACATAACTTGATGTCCAAAATCTTGTATCCACAATTTTTTCGATTATAAAAATTTTAATTTATGGAATTATATGTCTTGTTACCCCATACAAAAATTTAATTTCCATTGAAAATGGAACCTGTGAGCTTTCTAATTAGTAAATATGTACAACCTATCAGGTAGATAGAACAATTATGATTAGATTTTTTTATAAGATCCAAAAGTCAAAACAACATTTAGCTTTCTAAGAAATGTGTCAATGTCCCGCCTAGGCATTTTGTAAAAATTGTATTGGAGCAGTGATTCCGAGTTTTTCCTTAGTGGCGGAGGTTATTAAAGAAAAACTGAATTATTATCAATCATTAACGAAAAATAACGCAACTATAAAAATCTGGGAAGGAAGTGTACAATGAAACAAGATACGAAAGGGAGAATTGATCTTATATGAGGTTAAACATTTAAAGCTTAAAAACTAGAAGTGTTAAAAAATTCCCTTGGATTAAAAGGGGAGTCAGTTGAACGAAGTCAAAAAATGTCTAGGCGAGACGGCGATGAATAATGTTGTTGTTTATTTTTTAGATACTCGTATCTAAGTAGTAGGTACAACTTTATTCTAGAACTGGTTATTTTAGTATTATTACATATTTGATTTAGTTTTTTTCTTACTCGATGTAATAATGGTCAGTTTGGGAGTTTTTTATCTTATTGGTGAAAAAAATTAATGTACCACAAAATTTCCGTTAACAGTATCATATTTTATTGTGCAAAAATACAGACATTCAGTTTTGTGTTCCTTTGGATTGTTATCTGTTGATAACATTTCAAATTTTTTATTTATTTATTTGTACGAATTGACCTATAAGAGAAAACGTTGTATTATATACATAAAGCAAAGTCAGCATTTTACACTTGTGCTACGCACTCGTTTCACAAACACATCACTCACAGATAAAAAACAACTTTTCTTTACTTGTATAATAATAGTATATTAAAAAACAAGTGTCATAAAACCAGTCTTAATGCACGAATTCAAGTTTAAAAAACGAGTGGCGCAGCGCCACGAGTTATTTTAAAGAATGTGTGCTTCAAGGTCTAATAAAACGAGTTTGTTATACTAATTTGCTTTCTAATTTTAAATGATTTGATCACCTTTTGACTATTAAGACGTCACGTTCTTTAATATGTCTATTAAAGAATCAAAATGGAGGCAAATTACAAAAACTACTATTATTTAATGAAAGCAAGGTATTGGGGTRCAAATCTAGTTGGAACGCATTATTTTTTTGTTTAATTTTGTTTCATAACATGTACACCTATTTGGTTTCTGTWCCTACCAACATTTAATTCAAATTTAATAATGTACACTGGCCGCCAAAATTAACCGGACTAAAAGTTTGCGATTTTTGCCATTGCAATATTTTTGTTATTCTTTGTCAGATTTCGACAAATTTTTGTTTGGCTTAAAGAAAAAACTTTGTAGATCATTGTAATTTAATTCAATAACATTTCTAATTTTGTCTTCTAAATGTGATACTCAAAAAACGAAGGCACTCTTTTTTTACTTATTTTTGTATTGTGTGACAGAGACAGAGTTTTTGCTGATTTCAGATTATTGCCCACTCTTTTCTGAATTATGTACCACATTTTCCATAATTTTAAATCATGAGATATGAGAAATATAATATAATCTAAAACAAAAAAAAACTTAATTTTGTCTCTGTTGCACACTACAGCTCAGTGTAGAAAAAAGTAAAAGAACAGTGCTCTTCTCTTTTGTTCTGCAAAGTTCGTTCTTTAAGTCGAACAAAAATTCTTCGAAATCCCACAAAGAATAACAAAAATATTGCAATGTGAAAAATAGCATAATTTTAGTTGTTCTGATAATTTTGGCGGCCAGTGTATTAAGACAACTTTAAAAACTTAGATTTTCTATATTTTCAAAGTTTA